GCTGCACAGAAGAGTTGGCAGCTGTACCAATTAGATGTTAAGTCAGCTTTTCTAAATGGTGTCTTAGAGGAAGAAGTGTATGTAGATCAGCCGGAGGGATTTGTGATGAAGGGGAGTGAAAGCAAGGTTTATAAGCTGCACAAAGCTCTCTATGGCTTGAAACAGGCTCCAAGAGCTTGGTATAGTGAAATTGATGGTTATTTTGCTGAGTGTGGTTTCACAAAAAGCCAAAGTGAGGCTACTCTTTATATCAAAACAAGAGGTGAAGCAAGCATCTTGATAGTATATATTTATGTAGATGATATTGTCTACACTGGAAATGATCAAGAAATGTTAGAAGACTTCAAGAAGGACATGAAGGAGAAATATGAAATGACTGATCTGGGGCTCTTGCATCACTTCTTGGGAATGGGAGTCATTCAAACACCAACAAGCATATTCATTCATCAGAAGAAATACGCAACAACTCTGTTAAACAGATTTGGTTTGAGTGAGTGTAAACCGGTGTCTATTCCACTAGTTACCTCAGAGAAACTAAGTAAGGATGATGGGAGTGGTTTGGCAAGTGAAGAGCAATATAGAAGTTGGATACGCCTTTTCTTTTGGGAGTGGAGTGTTTGCTTGGGCCTCAGTCAAGCAAAATTGTGTTGCACTCTCTACTGCAGAAGCTGAATACATCAGTGCCTCTGAAGCAACAACACAAGCTATTTGGTTGAGATTTGTCCTAGAAGACTTTGGAGAACTTCAAACAGAAGCTACACCTCTCCACTGTGACAACATTTCAGCTATTGCCATTACAAGGAATCCTGTTTTCCATCAGAAAACCAAGCATATTGATCGGAGGTATCATTTTATTAAAGATGCTTTGCAAGATGGAACTGTGGATTTGATCTATTGTCCTTCGTACGAATGAGCAGCTAGCAGATATCTTTACAAAGGCTTTGGCCAAGGATCGGTTCAGCTATCTTAGAGAGAAGCTTGGTGTGAAATCAGCTCACAACTTAAAGGGGAGTGTTGAAATGTAAGTAGTGAGCTGATAGGAAATGGAATTAAGCCTGGTCAGCTAATGGTGTATTCTCTTAGTCAATCAAAATGACTGGTGTTAGGCTTTAGTAGTAAAAAGGCTTATAAGCCACGTGTAATGTTTTTATTAAGCAGTTATAGATGAAGGGCTGAGATACAAAGTGATGTAAACATATAGCTCACAGATAGCGTGCTCATTCAAAAAAATAGACAGAACAGTGCAATAGAAGAAAATACATACGAATTGATTCATTCTCTGCTCTCTCTTATCTCTGCATTCTTTCTTCTCTCTCAACCTATTCAAAACTCTAACATTAGGATGGTGGTTGTGGGGGATTTTGGCGACGGGGCTCTGAAGAGGGTTGCCGATTCAGGGTTTTCTTGGAACGAAATTCTAATTGGGAAGGCGAAGAAGGAGGCGGTGTCAGTTGTGGGGAAATGGAAAGATCGTGATGTGTTGCAGAAATTGGAGTGGACATACAAGCCAGATGAGGACCAAAGTGTGCATAGCTGGGATGATGAGATTGACAGTGAAAGCGAAGAGGAGGAAATTGAGGGTATTGTTGGTGGTGGAGTGAATGACAATTCAGGGAAGGATGACAGTGGCAGATGGTGGGAGCTTGACTTTGATGCTGATGCCTGATGCCTCTACATGTTGATCTTTTGGTGATAGGGAACCAAAATCAGCACAAAATCAGAAGCTTACCCATTTGTTAAAGGGAACCAATGGCATTCAATGCCACCGAAATCCTCTGCTGCAACTGCAGAAAGCAATCTCAGTCTTTTTCTTCCAAAACAGACCTTACGCGTTTGAGACACTTCCCAAGTCGCCCATGTAAGCTAACATCCTCAGAATCCTCAGAAACGAGGAAGAGTACCAGTCCGAGATTGCGCCTCCTCAACAGGTCGGTCATCATCCTCCTAATTTTTGTTTTTGTTTGTTTTCCTTTTAATTTTTGCTCTGTTTGGATACTAAGAAAATGCAACTATTTTTATTAGCTTGATTGAGTGGGTCTTTGTGATTACTCAATTTCGATTTAAGTGTATTCATATTTGACATTTTGAAGTGTTGATTGTAATCCGTGTTCCTATTTTGTGCTGGAAATAATAACAATTGATAACAGCCTCCCTCGAAATTCAATTCATTTACGGTGCAAGATCGGCCAGTTGAGCTGTGGATGACAGTGAGAGGGAAATTTGGAGACACGGAAGATATGAAAATTGAAGTTACTATGTTTGATGGGTATGAAACTGTTCCCAAGACTGGAGATGACAGCACTGGGGAAGACGTGTGTCTTCACATCAGTATGCTTGTTGATATTTCCAGGGGGGATGGCTCCAATGATCTGGAGTTTCTGTGCTCGGCCTGGCCAGATCGTCTAGAGGTTCAGAAAGTTTATGTTCTTCATCATGATAGAATGCCGGCTAAGCTGTATATGGGACCTGATTTCGAGTATGTCTTCCGCATTCTATTTTGTTTTAGATTGTAAATCCGCCGTTAAGCTCAAGACAGCAGCTTCGTTTTTGGGGCGCATATGATAGCATATGCAAACCGCCATGCACTTAAATATGTTCCACAGGTTGTTAGAGAAAGGAAAGTGAGGTACAGGGTTGTGATTAGGGATGGTGAATTGACGTTTGTAGGGTTTGCGGGAGGAGATTTTATACTAATGAGAAGCTGTTGAACCACATTAAGATTCATGAGAGACAGCATGCGAAGAGGTTGAACCAGATTGAGTCTGCTAGAGGGAGCGGGAGGGTGAAGCTGGTTGGTAAGTATTCAATGAAGATGGAGAAGTATAAGAATGCTGCAAGGGATGTCTTGTCACCCAGAGGGCGGGGTTTTGGGTTCGGAGCTTGGTGGATAAGCCTCTGAGGGCGGATGCTACATTGAGGAATCACATTGTGGATATGAGGGATCACAGGAGAGCTGAGTGTTTGATGCTTGTGTCGGATGATTCAGATTTCGTGGATGTTGTGATGGAGGCCAAGCTGAGATGTCTCAAGACGGTGGTTGTGGGGGATTTTGGCGACGGGGCTCTGAAGAGGGTTGCGGATTTGGGGTTTTCTTGGAACGAAATTCTGATTGGGAAGGCGAAGAAGGAGGCGGTATCGGTTGTGGGGAAATGGAAAGACCGTGATGTGTTGAAGAGATTGGAGTGGACATACAAGCCAGATGAGGAGCAAAGTGTGCATAGCTGGGATGATGAGATTGACGGTGAAAGCAAAGAAGAGGAAATTGAAGGTAATGTTGGTGGTGGAGTGAATGACAATTTAGGGAAGGATGACAGTGGCAGATGGTGGGAGCTTGACTTTGATGCTGATGCCTCCAAATGTTGATCTTTTAGTGATAGGGAACCAAAATCAGCACAAAATCAGAAACTTACCCATTTGTTATAGGGAACCAATGGCATTCAACGCCACCGAAATCCATCGCTGCAACTGCGGAAAGCAATCTCAGCCTTTTTCTTCCCAAACAGACCTTACGCGTCTGAGACACTTCTCAAGTCGCCCCTGGAAGCTAACATCCTCAGAATCCTCAGAAATGAGGAAGAGTACCAGTCCGAGTATGCGCCTCCTCAACAGGTCAGTCATCATCCTCCTAATTTTTATTTTTTGTTCTTGTTTGGATTCTAAGAAAATTGATTGAGTGGGTCTTTGTGATTTCTCAATTTTGATTTAAGTGTATTCATATTTGACATTTTGAAGTGTTGATTGTAATTCGTGTTCCTATTTTGTGCTGGAAATAATAACAATTGATAACAGCCTCCCTGGAAATTCAATTCATTTACGGTGCAAGATCGGCCAGTTGAGCTGTGGATGACAGTGAGAGGGAAATTTGGAGACACGGAAGATATTAAAATCGAAGTTACTATGTTTGATGGGTATGAAACTGTTCCCAAGACTGGAGATGACAGCTCTGGGGAAGACGTGTGTCTTCACCTCAGTATGCTTGTTGATATTTTCAGGGGGGGATAGCTCCAATGATCTGGAGTTTCTGTGCTCGGCCTGCCCAGACTGTCTAGAGGTTCAGAAAGTTTATGTTCTTTGTTTGTGATAGAATGCAGGCTAACCCATATATGGGACCTGATATCTGGTATGTCTTCCGCATTCTATTTTGTTTTAGGTTGTAAAGCCACTGTTTAAGTTTTTCCAGGAAGTGTATGAAGCACAAAGAATGAATGTTTGTTAGCTGTATGAGTTTGCAGTGTTGGGTTTGGTGGTGTGACTTGTTTGCGGCTTCTGTGTTTTTGACAGGAGTTTGAAGAGAACGATTCAAAAGAGGTTTATTGACTAATTTGGAAGCAAGGTTTGTGAATGATGACATTTCTGTTTTCTTGCATCAATATATGACAAACAAGGAGAGATAGAACTTATCAAATGGTTGGGGAAGGTCCAGTCGTCTCTGCAAAAATAGAATGGTACATGTCTGTGGCCTCTGTCGATTTAGATTTGTGGTCATTCATTTGTTCTTCCTTAAGAAATTTGCCATTGATTAGAAGGAAGGTTCAGCCTAAGTTAATCATGTGCATGCTTTACATTATATGAAAGCGTTTACTATGTAACATTTATTCAGGTCAGCAACTCTGTCTGTCTTATGGCCTTGAGATGCTTCTGATTGATTGCATGGAATTACCCCAAGCAAAGTGACGGGAAATTAGGATTTGTGATGGTGTGCAGTTTTGTGCAGTGTTACCCCAAGCTATATATGGTTAGCAATTTCCAAGTGTGACGACCAAGAAGAGGAAACTGGACTTAAGATTGGTTTTGAAAAATACAATTGTCCTTTTTTCGGTACTGCAATTAAAAAATTATTCCAAGAAATTAATCTAAATATTTTTGTCCAGAAAAACAAGATAAACCATTCCATGAAAGTGTAATGTTATTAACACAAGAAACTCAATCCAAATTCCTCATTGCAACTTGTTACAACAAATGCATTAGAAAACTGTTTGATGACAAAGTTAAATTCCTCAAAAAGAAAATGTGTACAATTTGAAAGGATTACAAATTCCATTTCCATAAGTGATTGTTTAGCAAATACTGGATTTTTGCTGGGATTAAATGATGCAGCCTGACAAAAGAACTCAGATGGGCTGTTCTAGAATTGTCAAGACATGTCATTATCTCTCCTCCCAATCAAAATACTCCATCTCTTGCTTTTGCCAACAAGAACTTTGAGAACAGGCTGCAAGAAGAAATAGCATCCATTTCACCATCAATTATCCCTGTCGTGACCTCGACCAATTTCCTTACGGGAGCTTTGCTTCTCAAGTTCATCAGGGATTGAATTGCCAGCCCCGAACATGTTGCCAGTTTTTTGTAACTCATGAATTTCCATTGCACTTGATATATCTAGAAAGGTTCATTGACTCAGCAGACACTTGAAGGCTGATTTTCTGTCTGAAATGATGATGACTTGAGCGACGCCACGTGTGCACATATTTGGTCTGTTCCTACAAGTCCAAATTAGAAACAACAAATTAATCGTAATAGGAGTCTAAATGAACCTTAGAAAAAGGTGTTTACCACGAATTATACAGCTAACCTAATCCTTGTTCAAGTCCAGATAAGATTTAATTAAGCATCCAACAGAAATGAGGCAACCCTCTCCTTTCAAATCATCAAAGACCCTCTCCTTTCAAACAATCAAAAAGATCCTTGATGGTTAATTATTGTGGGTTTTATCCTCACCTTCCAGCTTGCATCGCAAAGCTTCAGTGTCAATCTCATCAAGTAAGTCCTCTGCATCAAAGACAGCATGCTGGAGCTGTTAATCCACTCTCTCACAGCAGGGTTCACAATTTGCTTCTCCTCTGCATCATTGAGCACCGCGAACAAAATCAACAGTGTCGTCTTCAGGTTCATGAGGAGTGGTTCATCGAGTTTCTTCTGCCGAAATAAGTCGATGAACTCGGCTGAAGTAACACAACACCTCGATAGAAGCAGAGATGAGAGCCTCTCTGATCAAAGATGCTGCCATTTTTTCCTGCTTTGGAAGGGGATTTGGATGAAGTGATATTCCAAGGTTTGCAGAACTTGGAAATACAGGTTTGTAAGCAAGTATGAAAGCTGTCTGATATTGTAAATAACATGAACTTGTAATTAAGCTTTGAAAACTCTCTTTCACTTTGAACGACTGTTCTTTGTGGGACAACTTTTGAAACCTTTCTGTGCACTCAAATCGTGTAACTGTGGCCACTGATGTTAATATGCAAAGTTGGATGCAATAATATTGCTTACACTGGCCAAAATGGTACAATATGCTATAAACTTTTTTTTCTTTTTCTTTTTGGTCGGACAAAGATACTATCATATATCACCAGCAAATTCCAATTTTGAATGTTAGCAGAATTTGAAAAGGACTTAATGCTCATGGAGCTATTATAATTGTGGCGGAAAAAATGGTGTAATAGTGGGGCTGAAGTGGAAGAACAAGGGATGAGCAAAGCAGGGGAGAGGAAGATGCTCTCAATTTTATTTTATCTTTCATCTTTATTTGATCATAGTTAGATGACTACACAAATTTCCAACTAGTACCAAGCACCATATTAACTCATTAACAGCACATACAATATATAATATATTTTATAAAAAAAAATTTCTCTCTCATTTACATGTTCAAGTTTCTACATAAAACAAATTTCTCAAGAATAAAATACTAAAATACCTGATTTTCTCGAACTCGAAGCACGGCACCCTTTGTTTCAAATAATTGCAGAACACACCGCTTAAGACAAGAAAGCATACCATTTCTCTTTATCAAATCAGCTCACAGAAAATGGTTTTTGTGTATCACTTGACGCCTCTCTCTCCACTAGCCCAAGATCAACAAACTATAAAAGATGTAAGAATGAGCAATTTAAGGAGATGCAAGCTTTCCCAGTTATTACTGATACTTAAAAATAAAAATGAAAAGTTTGAAGAGCAAAGTTACTTGATGATGACTTTCTTACCTCTTTGCAGAGTCTTTGATCCTACAAAATAATTGCAACACAGCCACTTATGAGAAGCATTTCTAGCCTCCAGTAGAAAATGTTTACAAATCCTTTGTAACTCATCAATTTCCATTACACTTGAGATATCTAGAATAAAGGATCATTGACTCAGCAGAAATTTGAAGGCTGATTCTCTGTCCCAAATGATGATGACTTGAGCAATGCCACGTATGAACATGTTTGGTCTGTTCCTACAAGTCCAAATTAGAATCAACAAATTAATTGTAACAGGAGTATACTTTATAATTGTGGTGATAATACATTCTAAATGAACCTTAGAATAATGCACCGCAAATTATACAGCTAACCTAACCCTTGTTCAAGTCCAGGACAGATTTAATTAAGAATCCAAACAGAAATGAAGCAATGGACAGGAAATGAAAATAAATAACCCAGAAAAAACATTCATCAACAGAATAAAGCAAAAGACAGGAGATGAAGCTACTAGGGAGTGAAGCAGCAGATGGACCAGACGATTAGTATACATTCCTCCATTGTTGAAAAAGAAACAGATGAATGATCACTTTTGAAAAATTGTATGAAATAAGAGGCCTCCTTTTTTATTTTGTGTGGCTAACTCCTTTTAACAGTACAAAAACAATAAAAGAAATAATTAATTACATAATACAGTCATACAGGTCCCAGCCTGATATATGCAAACTACTATTGATTATCAGAAATTTTAAATTCTGTATTGTTGTCTCCCCCCCCACCCCAACATGCCAATGGGGAAGGAAATGCGGATGCGCGAGTTTGTGCCATGCCACCTATGTCAAAAAGTAGGCTTCTGCAGTTCAAGATAAGTAAAACCTGCTTTCATTAGAGGAAACAGAAACATTACAAAACAGGGGACAAGTTATCTACTGGATAAGCTAGACTACTCAAGCTAAACATCCAAACATTACAGGAATGAAATATAAAATACAGCAGCACTCCACTAGTAACATAAATGAATTCTAAAAACAGAGTGTGGTTGAAGACTGACTACGACATCAACATATAAAAGCTTTCATCTCCTGTCTTATAAAAGCATTTTTTCTTATGTCTAATAAAAAACCAAGGCTTAACAAAGAAAATGAGAGGGATGACAAACAGAGCTGAAACAAGCTTAATTCACTAAGAAGATTTTGTAATTCCTCAATGTTCTCTCTCGTCCACATAAGACCACCTGTTGATACTAAGATAATATACATGCAGTACCTAGGAAAGTACAACTTCAGCTCACCTGTTGAACCCTAAACCCTAATAATATACTGTGAGTTTTATCTTACAACTTAAGCTCACAGGTTATCCATAGACATTGAATACAATTTAAACTAGCTCAAATGAGACTGAAGTACATTTTTATTACAAAAATAGTACCTCAAAATGTTGTGCATTCAATGCCTATATTTGGGAATGTGTCTGTTGCGATATTCCAGGTGAACCTTTCTATTAAATAGTAAACCCTCCTCTGGAAATGACACATAAAGAAACCTTGCAAATGAATATATCTCCAAGAGAAGATATGTTGTCCTGTGAAAAGACTGCTAATTATTCAGCATTTGAGATTTAAATAGGATATAAGTTGTGATCAGCAGAACAAGCGCAATGAGAAATAAAGCAAATTTAAACAAAATTTACTGAGCAAAATAATAATAGAAATCAGATTGAGTGTTTGTGTTAAGTACTTTGTATGTGAGTGAGAGGGAGAGAGCTCATATCTTATGATCACTTCTTCACCTATCTTGATGCAAGGAATATGAGATACCTTTTCTACATGGCAAAACAATGGTCGATGCACAGATAAGAAAGAGATGGCAGCAAACGCTCTTCTGGCAGGAATTGGATATTGTCACACCCACAAATATGTAGCCTTTGCAGCGAAGAGAGGCGTTCAAGTTCCTCTCCTGGCAGGAATTATAGACTGACAGGCCATAATATATAGAGTGTGAAGAGTGGTATTGAGCAAACGTCTACAAGATATTGCCACCAAGTCCTTGCAAACCCCAGTAATCTCCCACCGAAGGGCTCAGTCTGTCACAATTCAAAATATGAAAATATTGCAGGTTGGGAGGCAAATGACACAAGATTTTGAAGATCATATATCCCCAAATGTCAAAGGCTGTGAGGGTGCCAATGTGTCTGGGCAATGACTTCATTCTGGAATCTACTGACTCTGACAAAAGTAGGCTTCTGCAGTTCAAAATAAGCAATGAATATCGATGAAATCCTTTTTTTTTTTTTTTTTATAAGAAACGTGCTTTCATTACCAGAGATATAAAAACAATACAAAACAGGGGACAAGTTATCTATTGGATTACTCAACTACCACCACATATCAGAGATTAAACATCCTAACATTACATGAACGAAATCTAAAATACAGCAGCAGTCGAATCACAACATAAATGAAATCTAAACAGAGTGGAATAACACAGAGTTGCTGTGAAATGCGGGGACAAGGGTTTAACCTAGAACAACAAAACTTAACAAACAAAAGGAGAGAGATGATAAACAAGCTAAATTCACTAACAATTTTGTAATTGCTGATCGATCTCTCTCCTCAACGTAAGACAACCTATTGATACGACAAATATCAGGCCACAACATTAATAACAAACCCGCAGTACCTGGGAAAGTCCAAAGATTAATTCATGGCATGAACCTATTAACAGACTATCCATAGGCATTAAATTCGATTTAAACTAGCGCAAATGAGACTCAAATACATTTTTTTCCATATAAAAGTACCTAAAAATGGTGTACATTTGATGCCTATATGCAGGAACGTATCAATTGAGATATTCCAGGTAAAGCTTTTCTGTTTCTCCGCCCTGTGACCCTCCCTCTGGAAATGCCACATAAAGAAACCTTGCAAATTTTGAAAAGCTCCCCAAGGGCCAAGAGAAGGTATGTCCTCCTGCAAAAAGACTGCTAATTATTCAGCATTTGATACTCCAAGTAGGATATAATTTGTGACCAGCAACAAAATAACAAAAAGCGTGAAATAATTAGGAATTTGGAGATCAAATTTGGGCAATGTCCAACATGTATTTGGGTTTTTGGAAGAGAAAGAGAACATGTGTTTTGGTTTTTGTATTCAATTAGAAGAAGAGAAGCAGTTTTTTAAAGTAAGAGAAGGCACATACCTCACCTGACTTTGATTTGAGAGTTGAGGGTTGAGAGTGAAATATGGAATAGCTCATATTATATGATCACTTCGTTGCCTATCTCGATGCAAGGAATGTGAGATATCTTGGCCCAATCTTGTCCCGTCTTATTATTATACCTTCCCTCCAGGGCAGGACACCAGAGGATACGCAGATGAGAAAGAGATGGCGGCAAACCCTCTTCTGGCAGGCATTGGAGACTGGGACAGCCAATAATGTATAGAGTTTGAAGAGAAGTGAGGTGTTGAAGTTCCTCTCCTGGCAGGAATTCCAGACTTGGACAGCTGCCAATTTGTAGCGTTTGAAGAGAAGTGAGGTGTCCAAGACCCTTTCCGTCCAAAGATTTCAGAGTTGATAGATCAGAGATGTTGAGAGTGTGAAGAGTGGTAGGGAGCAGCTGTTCCTTGAGCAACGTCTCCATGACACGGTCATTTCCACTGATATGAAATTGTTCAAGGGAGACAAGTGCTTGCAAACCCCAGTACTCTCCCACTGATGAAGCCCTCAGTCTCTTACAATGCCGAATGTAAAAATATCGGAGGTTGGGAGGCAAACCCCCATCTTCTGCAAATGACTCCAGATTCGGAAGATTCGATATCGACAAAGATCGAAGGGCTGTGAGGGTGTGAAGGCGTTCGAGGAATTTCAAATTCGCGCATCCCTGGACAAAAAAGTAACTGAGATGGCTGAGATTCTCATCAATGGAAAGGGATTCCAGATTCTCACAATCCCAAATTTTAAGCGTCGTCAATTTGGGAGAAATGCCCAACGGGAAGGACCTCATTGAATCACAGCTTTGAAATATACTCAAAGAGTCGAGCGATGTTAATTTGGCCAACATCTCATGAGGTAGGAATTCTAATCTCCTACAATTCTCTATAGTAAGTGATGTCAAGGTACTGGGTAGGCCATCTTTGGGAAACGATGACAGCGTTGGACAATTCGAAAGAGTCAAACGTTGAAGACGATTGCAGTTGGGCAAGCACTGTACGTCAACAACATTTTCATTCTCAAGTCGGGACAGGAGCTTTGTCTCTAATAATGATAACAGAGCTTGGCATCCACCACTTATTTTAAATTCTTCCAGAGATTTATAGTTAAGACTACTGGTAGTTGCGGTAGTGGCCCTTCCATCATGTAAAACCTCACACCCATACACCGTAAGCTTCTTCAAGCAAGGCAACTCACAAGGCAAACTTCCTCTCAGCTTCGGACACTCGTATAGAATCAGCTCCTGGAGATGAGGAAAGTCTGGACCATATTCACCTCCACTTGTACTTCCACTTGGTACCCATTCCTCCCACTCTGGCATCTCCCCAAACTCTAGCTTCTCCAAAGATCGAAATGGCTGAGTCACATAAGCTCCATTTCTGCCATAGAATTCAACGCCAATCGTCTTCACAAACTTCATTCTTTCTATACAGAGCTCTTTGAGTGCCGGTAGCCGTCCAACTGGTGGGAGCGACCAACAATAACTACAGTCACTGAGATGCACGACTTGTATGTTAGAAAAAGACGAGTCTCCTAACCAATTCGGAAAATTGGTTCCACCATAGAATCTGATGGTTAATTTCTCCAAATTCACGCAAGGCTGGAGCTTGTCGAGTACATCTTTCTCCTTTTGGGAATCATCAGCATCCTCCGCACCCCATGAAAACTCTAACTCCTTGAGATCTTTCTTGTGCTTCATATTGACGTGCAGTGCATCCCTCGCATCAACTACATTTTGTAGCTTCAAAATTGATAGTTTTCCTCGAAGTTGCGGGAACTCCTTCAGTTCTCTTATGCCTGACCCAGTAGATTTGCCCACAACAAATGCAGTCAATGTTCTCAAACTTTTCAGTCTACCCATTTGCACTGGCATCTCTTCAATTTTAGTTCCACTGACATCAAGATGATGCAAATTAGTCAACTCCTTCATGCCTGCAGGCAATTTATTAAGAGAACTACAACCGCCCAATGTCAATTTCTGTAAATTAATCAATTTTCTAATGTCTGCAGGCAATTCAAGGAGTGAGGAACAATTTGACAATAGTAATGTCTGCAAGTTGTAGAGATTGCAAAGTACCCCAGGTAACATTTCAATTGGGGTATAGGAAAGATCCAAGTAGCGCAAGTGAATGAGGTTTGCAATAGAATCAGGTAACACAGTGACATTTTGATAACCTGACAATGATAACACCCGTAAACATCTTAGTGACGGCAACAGTTCTTGTAGAACCTTTTTAGTTACATAAGAAGGGAAACCATTTAAAGATATGGGTAGAAAGGTCCGCATAAACTTAGCCCTATTTAATGGCTTAAATTTTGGAGCTGCATCAAATCTTTCCGTAGCATATGAAAAATGCCGAACTTTTTCTATGTCATGTAATTCCCCCCCTTCCAGCCTACGGCAAAATGCCTTACACATGAACATGGCCAAGTCATTAATAAGGTCATGCATTGTGAAACCGAATTTGCTTGACTTTTGAAATAGTGATCGTGCCAATAGCTCATCAAAGTATTTTCTAGCTTCCGCTTCTATGCTCTTTCCGTTCTCGGCTTTTGGAATTAAACCTTCTGCTATCCAGAATTGAACTATATCTTTCTTTTTAAACTCATAATCCTTTGGAAAAATTGAACAATAAACAAAGCATCGTTTTAACTGGGAGGAGAGATAATGGTAACTCAACCCAAGAGCCGGAAGAATGTCACATTTATCAAAGGGTAGCTCCCAAATACTGCTATTTAGTATTGTATTCCATTCCTCTGAATCTATATTGCAACGTAACAAAGCCCCAAGTGTTTCTGCAGCTAAAGGCAACCCATTGCACTTGCGTGCAATTTGCTTGCCAATTTCTTCCAAGTTTGGAGCACTGCAATTTTCATTTCCAAATGCATGTTTTGCAAGTAAGAACCAGCAATCTTTGTGCGACAAGGGTTCCAAGTGATGAACATGAACACTTTGCAGGACAGATACTACATGTTGGCTCCGTGTTGTTACAATGACTTTACTTCCCCTTGCCCCAGAAGTAAAAGGAGTTTGGAGGCGTTTCCAATCACCATATTTCTCATTCCATAGGTCATCCAACACAAATAAGAATTTCTTTCCCTGGAGTTGTTCTCTTAATTCAACTTGAAGCAAATTTAGATCTGTCTTATCAGAAGACTTTGAAGTGACTGACTCTAGAAGAGTTTTAGTTATCCTATTAGAATCATAGTCTTCCGAAACACAAACCCAAGCGTGAAGTGGAAAATGTTCTTTCACCTGATCGTCGTTGTAAAGCAGTCGAGCAAGGGTTGTCTTGCCAACCCCGCCCATTCCAACAATGGTGAGGACAGACACATCATCCTTGCTTGCATCATCAGATAACAAAATTTGCAATAGATTTTCTTTGACTTCATCTCTACCATAGACACAAGGTTCATGAACCAAGGAAGTTGTTGTTCTTTGTGAAACCTTCCTCCCAGCACCTTCTGTCAAACCAAGAGCACTTTTCTCTTGTACAAATTGTTCTAATCTTTCTAATAAATCTTTCATCTCAACATTCATGCGTTGATAAAAATCACGTTCTTTCATCTCAACATTCATGCGTTGATAAAAATCACGTACCTTCTTGGTTAAATTGTGGGTTTGACCTTCACCTTCTTCCAGCTTGCATCGCAAAGCTTCAGTGTCGATCTCATCCAGTAAGTCCTCCGCAGCCAAGACATTATGTCTGAGATTGTCAAGCCAGTCTCTCACTAAAGGTTCCTCAATTTGCTTCTCCTCTGCATCATTAAGCACTACGGACAAAGTCAACAGCGTCGTCTTCAGCTTGTTGAGGAGTTGTTCATCCAGCTTTTTCTGCCGAAATAAGTCGGTGAACTCAGGCGAAGCAATTTTGTCACACAACGTCTGGATGGTAGCAGAGATGAGGGCCTCTCCGATCAAAGCCATATCTTTCTCTTCTCTGCAAGGGATTTGGATGAAGTAATATTCCAAGGTTTGCAAACAGCTAGCACAACTTGGAAACACAGGGTAAACGAAGTATGTTAGAGATAAAATATCCAGTTTCGTTTTCAAAATTTTTCTGTAGCCTCACATGGGGATGGATGCAATAATATTGTGGACGTACAGCTTAATAGCTTTTGAGAAATTGTCGGTGAACATCTTTAAAAGTGGCCAAAGTGGTACAGGATGCTATCAACTTTTTTCTTTTTCTTTTTGTGGGACAGATTATATTCCAATTCTGAATAACGACACAACTTTAAGAGCACTTCCACCAGTTAGCCCCTTGCCATGGCAAGGGGAGCCCTAGGGCGGGTACTATTCACGTGAATAGTATCTGCCACGTGAATAGTATCTGCCACGTGAATAGTATCTGCCCTATGGCAAAAAAAAAATTGTGTTTCCAGCAATGCAAGGCTTGCCATGGCAAATACTATTCATTTTTTTGTTTTTTTCACAACTTTGTTTACTTAAACAATTAATTTGGATAATATTTTCGGATAAGATTTTTTGGGTTCCTATGTGTCAATACTATTCATATTGGATCAGATTTTCGGTTTCAAATTTCAGATAAATTTCAGATAAATTTCAAATTTCAGATACATTTCAAAATTCAAATTCCAGATAAATTTCAAATTTCAAATTTCAGATACATTTCAAAATTCAAATTCCAGATAAATTTCAAATTTCAAATTTCAGATACATTTCAAAATTCAAATTCCAGATAAATTTCAAATTTCAAATTTCAGATACATTTCAAAATTCAAATTCCAGATAAATTTCAAATTTCAAATTTCAGATACATTTCAAAATTCAAATTCCAGATAAATTTCAAATTTCATGTGAATTTCAAATTTCAGATAAGATTTTCACCCTCTAAAATTGCGCCACGTGTCATCTCTATCTGCCTAAATTTTTCTATAAATGCAGAGGCTTAGCTCATACCTCTCACACCATATCTTCTCTACATCTTCATTTCTCATATTTTAGATTTCATT